CGCGACACGTCGGACACGTGGCCGGGGGCACGATTTTCAAAGGGTAGCCCGGCCGGCCGCCGGTGTATATTCATACGCGTCGCGACAACAATATATCGTTATCGTCGTATTCGTTAACCGAACTGATCGACGTGAACTCGCCGATGGCATCGACACCGCTGGACCCAGGGAACCAGCCACGTTCATCGTCGAGATCGCGTTACCCTCGCACACGGGACAAAGTCGGACCTCGAGTCTCGATTGTTTCGTCCACCGTAGATCGAACGATACCGTTACAACAGAAATAATTTTGGACTTACGACCAGGGACGTATTGTACATCGAGACGCACTCGTGAGAACAATTGGGGGATCAACAGAAATCTTTCGATCGTTGTTACATTGCAAAGACGATCGACTCGAGCTAATTCTTTCAGTCGAACTCGTCGACAACTGCTGTTTTTCTTTTTTTAAATTCGATTCTAAACGATGTTGTAAAATAATATTAGCTATATTCGGAGTAAAAGTTGTTTGTAACTGCGAAAGAATCTGGACAGCGAAAGAAGAGCACATCTCGATGACTGTTGCACAAGTTGCCATGGGCTTGCAATGGTGTTTAAAGTAATTTTACGAGCGAGCAAAGCGGTCTGCAGCTCTTATCTCAGCCACATGGTAATCGCCTCTCAGCAACGATCTACGCAAATCAAGATTATGATAATCATAACCTTCCTGTCGCGTCCAGACTAGGTCAGAGTCAACTTTATCCTTTTCGTTGCGTATCGGAGATAACAAGACGGACCAACAGACACCATTGACCGATATGCCGCGAAGCTACAAGTTTCGAACGACGGATAAATGGAGAAAAATCAGAAGAAAGCGACTTTCCGTGCTCATAAACAGCGATCAAAGACTTAATCGTTCTTATAGTCTTGACTCGATGCCAACGTTCCGCGAAACACTCGCGACATTGCATCGAACTTTTGGATTCGAATTGTTGGGAAAAGCTCTTTCTATAATATACTCGACGATGCCGTCTACCTCCCTGTGCAAGTAATAACAGTATACTGAAAAGGGAAACAAATAACCGTCGTATATTTTTACGACAATCGGGGAAAGGATTCATATTTTCCAACTATCGGGAAACATCCCTTAAATATACCAGTAACGAGACCGGTTTTTTGCTAAATTAGTTACGGAAAGTATGCTAAACACAGCAGCCAGAATATTCGATGTCTTGTATCGTTATCAGGGGATGTAAAAGAGTGTTGAAAGTTTAGGTATTTTCCCAAACTTGTGTAACTTTTATTCTAAAAATCTCAATAGAATAGACAGTTGTATCTTCGCTACAAGAAAAAAGTAATAATGGTCGGTGTTAACCATTAACTTGCGGAGTCAAGATAGTGTTTTTATTGAGATATTACGTAAGTAACTATAAAATCATTTGTTATTCGTAGCTGTTGCTGGTCGCGTATTGGTATAATTTCCGAGAGTCTCGAGACAAGGATCGAGTCGTTAGGTTTACTCCGAGAAAAAAGAGGAATTCGAGCGGACTAAAAAAGCGAAAACTCGTTAAAGTTTCCCTTGCATCGGCTCTGAACGGTAAACCGCGAGCAGAGAAACGATACATTTACTCGTCCCCATCGTCTTGACTGGATGCCAAGGTTCCGTGAGATGCTCGCGAGAATGCATCGAGGTTGCAAGCTCGCTGGGAAATGCTCTTTCGCCGCTCGGTCGATCCCCGAGCGAAAAACGAGCGAAAAACGAGCGAAAAACGAGCGAAAAAGGAGTGAAAAACGCGAAACCGCAACAGACAGGGTAGAGGGAACAGGGCGGGAATTTAGCGGTCCCGTCGAGTACCAGAACCGAACGAGAGAACGCGGATAATTTCTATATGCCTGGCATCGATAATGCCGAAAACACACAACGGAACACCGCGCGACGTTCCGAGCGGAAAGGAAAGCTTTCTGCCGGTTCCCACCTACACAAAGGGCCGTCGAGTGCGCCTCGAAGGGCGGAGGATAGGCGGTTGGATGCCAGAGGGCGAGAAAGAGACTATCCGCGCAACACAACCGTGGAAGGACAGAAAACAACGAGGTATTCGTAAAAACGAAGGAACCCGCGAGGAAGTGAATGAGCGAGGAGGAGCCGGGATCACCGGGTCAGAACGAGAGAAGAGGGTTTTCTAGGGTAGGCTGTCGGTCGAACGGAGACACGGTGTAGCCGTGGAAAGTCAGAAACGCGCGCGAAACAGGGCGAAAAAGAGGAGTCCAGGCCGGAGGGTCGAAGCAAGAGGGATGATCGGGGCTCGAAGGAAGGCGAAGGCGAGGAGGAAGAGAGGCCGCGCCGGGAGGCCGAAGGGGCGAAGAACAAGGGAGACAGAGAGAGGGCTAGACGCGGAAAGGGAGAGGAAAGATCCACCCTGGTGGATGATCCCGCCTCTAAGGAGCCGGAGCCCTGGATGGGGGGTTAGCAACCAACCCTCCTACCTCCACCGCCGCCATCTCCACCCTCTGTCCCTCTGTCCCGGCGTACCGGCGCAGGCTCCGATACAGCCAATCGTCGGACCGCGACTGATAACGACGCTGCCAAATGTGCGTCCGTCGCATCGCGGCCGAGTTCGCCACGGCGGTGGTCCACGCGCCGACAAGCTCGTTTATATCCCCGCTATAATCCCGCGGATAACCGGCGGCCGTCCACACGGCCATCGTCCGATCCGGGAACTCGCCGTTTACACGGGCCGTCGTACGCCTCCGAACCGTCGTGCATCCCCCGGTTTACCCTCTACACCCCGAAATCAATTATTCCTTTTCTTTCTTCTGCGTTTTGTCGAGGCACGAGTACTTCGAGACGGGGGTAGTTGCCGATACCGTCGATCGGACGCGAAGTGACCACGAGGGGGAGGAGGAGGAGGAGGAGGAGGTGGAGGCGGAGGACCGTGACGAAACGATCGCGACTCGAGGAATCCGCCCGATCGACGAACTGGATCTGACAGTACTGGATAAAGGCTACACGCAGCCCCCCGCATTGACGGTAAGTTGGGCCCCAATTCCTCCAATGGAACAAGGCTTTCCTTGACACTTTCATTGCCACGTCGTATAAAAATTAATTCAGCAAAGTTACAAAAATAAGTACCGAAACAAACTTTAGGTTATGTAGTTTACGATGGCCTGCAATCAAAATTTCAGTTTTTATCCGCTAGTGAACGTGTTAACCCACCTTTCTCGATGACCGAACAGGGGTTGTAACGCGTCAAATGTCTTGAAACACTGTGGACTCTTCTGTAACGATACTGTTTTTATATAATCCGGTTATCCGATACCGCGGTACGATCTTCTAATACATAGAAATATGTAAATTCCGGCGTTTCATACGCAGCCGTCGAATATCATGCCTTTATCGATGACAGCGATTTATAAAAGATATTTCAACTGCCATAACTTTGTGAAAAAGAATCGTGCAGGAGTGTATCTAGGCTCGTTTCTATTTTCCCTTTACCGTCTGTGCTTTCGATAGACCATTGTCCTCGTAGTCTAAGAAATTACGTCGATAATTCGAGTCAAACTTTGATCTACATCCTTTTAGGCACAAACATTGCCCCGAGTGTCAATCTTCTTTTAACGTTTTTACGTCCACGTGTTGGTTCCACGCTCCGTACCCTCGTCTAACAGGAAATTTAACGTCTTCTGCGCGACCGTACAAAGTTATAAACTTGCCAGCGAATACACATGCCGGCTGTATAGCGGTCCAGTGCAACAACGTGACGAAGCATTGCCAAGTTCAGGAACGGGAGCCAATAATTTGATTACCGCTAAAGGGCGCCACGAACTTTCAACAATATCGATCGATATTTACGATCAAGATCATGGTGGCCGTCGAAGAATACCAGCCGGAATGATTTAGAGCCGCGACGGTCGAACCGGCCGCGCGTTTATCGCTACCAACTTTCCAATAACCGCGAAATAAAAACGCGCTCGGTTATCATTGTTCCACCCCAGAACCCACGCGTTTTCCTGGTCTGCGTCTATGTTACAACGTCCAACACGCATGTTTCGCGAATTAACCACAACAGCGCCTATCTTCAACGCTAAATTACCGCCCGCGTTCACAATTTTTCCCGCCGTCTCTTTTATCGCTCTGCGTTCCCGTTATTCATTTCTTTTTTTTTAACGCCCCGTAAATTCTACACGACCGCGTTCGTCGTCCGTTGTAATCAAGGTTCCTTCAAAGGTACCTTCGAGGTAATAAATTAAATTATTTAACAATTTCTCCAAGCTTTAACGCTCACGGAAATATCATGTTCACAGCGTTGTGCTGAGATTTTAGATATTGGCAATTCTGTACGCTTGTGTTCTCTCTCAAAAAAATCTAGGCACCCAAGTGGTTGTTTATCTGCTTGCTTTTCTCATAAAACGGACGCGTGTTCGAAGGGAAATTTCAAGATTTATATGCGTAAAAATTGATAATCGTGTTTGTGGTCTTCTTCTTGGGAATATCTAGTTACCTTGTAACAGCATTTTTGTTATTAAAGTATTCCAGTTTCCAGAGGAAGATCGCCTCGGTCGGTTAATATCAGTGATCGCTTCGATCTTTTCTTTTTCCTCCTTCGTTAATCGTTTGTCGTGTATCGGGTGTGCTTCTTTATCTCGAGTACTTGTTCTTGTTTCCGAAAACTGTTCGATCTCGTTTCTTGATCTTCGGTGGAGTGTTGGGTAGAGAGGGAGGGCAGGATCCCCGGGAAAGCAGGGACCAGTCGGAGCAGGTCCGATCCGAATGAAAATCCACCAAGATACGCGTTAGCGTTTTCTCCCTCTTTCGCACGGGACCGCGCGGCCACGTCGTCCGCGACAGTGCATTTAAACAGTGTGTGTAGGTACATACGAGAGAGTTTAGACGAGGTAGGCAGAGGGGTTTCCGGCGAGCGTTAACAGAGTAACAGAGTGATGTAATGAGGCCCGGAAGCAGGCAATTTGCTGGCCGCGGCGGCCGCAGTTGCGCGAGACAACCTGCCCGGAGTACCTTCTTCTTGATATCGGGTCCAGCCTCCTCCGGATCGGTTATCCGACGATCCCGTGTCGCGTTCCAGGCCCGGTCGAGGTGCACGTTGACGGCCACGTCCACGGATCTCGTCATTTTCAACGACCCCCGGCGAAATCGACGATTACGCACCAGCCATGACGATTCAATGAAAATTGGAAAGATGGCTCGTCTCCCGATTCATTCGTCCCTATCGTTCCAAGACCATTCGATGCACGAACAGAGGGTTAAAGTGCAAGACTTGAACTAATAAATATCGCAAGATAAACGAAAGATCTCGACTCGGGAGGAGGAGGAGGAGCGTAAGAAGAACATCGAACGAGTCTTTGGCATCGACCAAGATTCGAATCGATCGTCGATGCTGACGAGGTGGGCGGATCCAGCGCCGATCGAGGCTCGATCTCCTAGTGCGAACGAGTTGAATTCTTGCTAAACGGTGGAAAAATTGGCGAGGAAAGGACCTAGCGTTGGAACGGAGTGACAATCGCGACGAGAGTCATTAAGTACCCGGGTCTCGTTGACGGGACGCGGAAACCGTATACTTGCGGCCCGCCGGAGGTGCACCGTGATTATGCGACAGTTTTGTGAACGTGATTAAATTGACCTCGATACATTGTGGACATCCGCGCGTATCTGCCCAGTGCATTATTCCGCGACTGTTTCGCTCGTTTCGAGCGAACGACGATGACGGCTGCGGGATCGGGGGGATCCTGAACGAGTCCTGGGGGACCCGATCGTCGCGACGCGGTCTCGCGAATATCCAGGGACGATCGATGATCGGCGTGGTCGGCGTTCAGCTCGCGTTTTATCGTGGAAATCGTCGCAGCGACAGCGGCAGGTAAAACCAGTGCCTTCTTCTTTCCAAAATTAACGCTTTATCCGGTGAATTTTCAGGCTTTTTTTTCTATCCACCTACGTACAAACATGTTATTTGCTTCGTTAAACCTTGCGAGATATTTCGAAAATTGAATAGGAATGGACTCGAATAAAATTTCTCGCGATTCATGGCGTCGGAGAAGTTGGAGGCAGCGCCGATAAAATGTAGATCGGCAGGCAGATGCACGACGAACGCCTAAATTACGGACAGATCGATTACCAGTTCCCGGTTGTTACGTGCACGTAATCTGCCTGCAGTTAGTCGTTAATTCGCCGATATCTCCTCGGGCGATTCCTCCACGCGACGATCGCGACGACCTGCTAGACACCGAGCTCCACGATGGTCGCTCGTATATGTTACACCGAGGGTTTTAATCGTCCGTCGCTTATCAATTCGCAATCTAGTCGACAACACGTGTTCGGTAGCAGCAGTTTCTTTCTTCGTTTTATTCGTAAACGGGACGAACCTTGTAGCATGTCAGCATACAGGGTGTCCCGATGTATTTACCATAAACTTATCAAGCTCCACCGTTCGAAAGAATTTCGAAAATTATTCCTCTCGAGCGGTTTCTTTTCGCACCGATGGTTCGTTTTCTGTCATAGATTGTTGTCGATCGTATTTCCTGTAGAAGTCAGCTTCCCCGTAATGTATTCACCCGTCTCGTTCGTAAGCAAGAAACTTTCTTGCGCGCACGCTCATTCGATTTAATTCGATCGTGACTTTACCGGATGCTTCGAGGGTCCTTTAATGATCCTTAACGACACTGCCTACTGTACGCAAGTGCTGTCAAGAGTTTAAAGTAACTCACACTTACTCTGTTAACGCGGTTCATTGTCTATAGATTGTGTTTTTCGCTTTGTGATACACCGCGGACAGAAAACGAACGACGCGACGCGTCAAAGGATCCGTTCGTCTTGGATCGCAAAAAAATTTTCTCAATTTATTTTCAAACGTTCGAGTTACTTTAAGTAACAGTTACAAATCAACTTTTCTACCAATGATCACATTGTGATACATATTATTGGGTAAAAATAATGTGATGTATCGGTTTTCAGGGGCTCTTTGGTGATGTACGACAGCGCTAGCTGTTCGTACGCAGGTGCGCTCGAATTAAAGGGAGCCTCAGGAGCCGGAGCCGGAGCCGCGGCCGCGGCCGCGGCCGTAGGTGTAACCGCGGCCAGCGTCAAACAGGAGAATTGGACGTATCGCGGCATAACCTGCGGTAGCACCTTCCAGAGGCTCAAAGAGAGCGTCGACAAGGCTAAACAGGCGCTCGCCGATCGTGGTGGCTACCTATCCGGAGCTTTCTCGCCTCCGCCACGTGCCAACCCATCCGCCATTTCTCCGACAGCCTCCATCACCGGTGAGTACCCGCATTCAGACCCTTCGTAGATCACCGATCGTCTCTATCGATTGACCAGCGATCGGACTCTGTCAGAAATAACGATCGTCACGCGAGGCTTTTTTATGGCGATGCACCATTCGAAAGTAGGGAGTATCGGGCACGGAAGAATGATTTTTCTGGTCGTGGTTGCGCTGTCGAGGTGGCGTTAGGCACGCATCGAACTTGGACAAGTTACTCGGCGGAACGATGTTTCCTACGTTAACCGCGAGTCACGCGAGTACGCGTGGAAAAGCACACGCAACTCGATTACGTGCAAGCTCGTGTCGGAGCAAATGGTACAGAGCAGAGGCGTCCGTTATGGAGATAAACCTTTATTCGAACGATTATTCAAATGAAACTTTTATCTGATTTGCCTACTTCTTTCCTCCGGCATTTTCCTTGCCGGCGTTAGCACCCATTCCACCGATCTTAATGCACGATTATGTTCCCAACCACGTAAAGCTTCTCGATCTACGTCGAATAAGGATAATCGACGATGATTTATCTATTCTTCTATTTTGTTTCGGTTAGAATTTATTTTGTATCGAAGACCGCGACTGGGTGTTTCTGAATAGTAAACGCTCGCACGAGTGCCAGAAATCGACCGCGATCGAAAGGTTAACGTCGTTCGCCAGCACAATTACACCGAGTCACTAATTTTCTCACGGCTTTAACAAATTCAGGGATCTAATCGAACGTTTCGATCTTGACGTTTCTCATGATCGTTCGCGTACGTACGTGGTAATTCTAGCACTTTTCTCACGTTGTTCGTAGCTAATGTTCGCCAGCTCGTGACCAGGTGCTAAGAAACAACGCATAGTTGCTGACAACGTTACACTTGCGATAAATATTTAATCGGAAATAATTATTACGGGGGACGAGAAAATCTATTTCAATTTATCGAGAGATTTAGAAATAGTGGAAACACCCGATGTTGTCCGCGAAATTATTTCCTGATACGCAATTTCTGTTATTTTACCGACCGGAGCACAAGTAAACAAAATTCCGTTACCACCTGGTCTCGTATATTATTCGAAAGAGAAAGGAACCCATGGAGATATCTCAGTCGCTATCGATCGTACGGCAAATTTGTACGCGACAAAAAAGTTGACAAACTTTATGCGCGGTAACTTTTATGCTATATGTTTTTGCTGTAAAAGCAACTGCGAGCGACATATTGTACGTTTCATTCGTCGTGCATTCCTGCGATGCACGAACGAACACATAAATCGAACTCTGATTCTTTTATATGGGTTACTATCGATCGTACCGAAAATTTGCATACAACGAAAATGTTTGGAAATTTAATTCACGGCAACTCTTGTCACGTGCGTTTTACCGTAAAAGCAATTGTATGTAAAAAAATTAGTAATTTCGAAGGAGAAGAGTAAAATATTTAAAAATTCGAAGCAAATGGAAATTCCAGCGAGGTCCTTCCAAGCGGAATATTCGATTGTCGTTTCTCCAGGATCGAAATCGAAGATAGCGGATGCCATCGACCTTCTTCGACGATAAAATGGCGCGGGGAAAAAAAAGAAAAAATGGGGGTAAAAAAGAAGGAAAATCTCGGGCGCGATAATTTGTCAGGACGGTGCCGGTCGCGATACCGGCGCGGCCTGACTGTTGCTCTTCGTTGTCGCCGATTTCCGATTGTTTTTTTAAAGCGCCGGTCGCCGAGGACATTAATTACCCGGCCAGTGTAAATCACGTTATCTACCGCCCACGCCCCCGGCGCGAGAGGGCGGCCATGAGAAGCGGGAGGGCCAAAGTGGTATAACACGGTGCACCGATGGGGGGCACGTTGCACGAGGGTTGCAACGCCGCCAACTGAGCAAAACGGTCGTCGACTGCTTTCCACGACCACACCAATATCCTGCTCGTTCCTCGGAAATTTATCGGTCGCTGGCTGAAAACTTTGCGCGCCACGCTCGAACGTTTACCATCTTTCTGCCAGCTCCCGTCGCTTTTCAGAAGGACGGATTGCCCAACCGAGAATTACTTTCCAACTTCTATTCGAAAACAGAACGATATTTTTTGATATTACAGAAATCTAACGATCCTAGAAGATTTAATTCCACGAACAAACACTGTAAATTATCGAATTTCCTATAAGAAATCTACCCTCTAGTATACAGGGAGTTTGGTCACCCATGGGAAAGACTTTAATAAGAGATTCTAGTGGTCAAAATAAGACGAAAATCAAGAATATCAATTTCTTGACAGGCTTTGTTAAAAAGTTATTAAAACATTAAATTAAAAAATTTCAAATCATTCTGAAAAAATTATTTTTAGTTGCGGGGGTCAATTAGAATCATTTTTGGTGAATAAACATACCCCCGAATTCCTACCCACATTCGAGAAAAAAATTCGGCTAGGTGCTAAAATTTTTGGGCAAAAAATAATTTTTCATATCGTTCTAAAAAAATTATTTTCTGTTGTGGGGGTCGATTACAATCATTTTTGGTCATTACACATACCCTCGAAATCCTAGCCACTTTCAAGAAAAAAATTCGAGAAGGTGTGAAATTTTTCGACAAAATTAAAAAATTTCAAATCGTTCTGAAAAAATTATTTTCGGTTGCAAGGGTCGATTACAACCATTTTTGGTCATTACACATACCCCCGAAATCCTACGCATTTTCGAGAAAAAAATTCTTTACCGAAAATCTAATATGAGGGCAGAAAAGCTTCCCTGAAATGTCATGCGAATCTTTAAAATGTCATAACTTCTGAACGGATTGGACGATTTTAATGTTTAAAAAGGCAAACGACGCGTATTTTAATGGAGAATATGTAGAAATTCTAAAAATATTGGAAAAGTTGTTCCTTGACCCCGTAAAGTTAGAAAAACCCCATAAAAATGATCCAATTTTCAAACAGCCATAACTCCTACAATAGCGAATATATTTCAATGAAACTTTTTTCTGCGGTAGAGCTCTTGGGTACCTACAAAAAAGTATTAGACAACTTTTCTGTAGGGCGTCAAACAAAATTACTAAAAATGAAAAACGAATTTTAAGAAAAATCGACAGGGGGTAGGTGCCTAAATTTTTCGGCGAAAAAAAAAAATTTCGAATCGTTCTAAAAAAATTATTTCTAGATTCTAGGGTCAAATAGAACCATTTTTGGTGAATACACATACCCCCGAAATCCTAAGCACTTTTGAGAAAAAAATTCAGGAGGGTTGACTTTCTCGGCGAAAAAAAAAATTTTCAAATCGTTTTGGAAAAATTGTTTTCGGTTGTGGCGGTCAATTACATATATTTTTGGTGAATAGACATACCCCCGAAATCCTGTTCATTTTCGAGAAAAAAATTCAATACAAACGGAACATTAAACGTTAATAACTTTTTAACGAAATTAAGAATAAGAATTTCCCATTAAAATTTTTCCCAGGGATGGCGGAATACTCTGTATGTCTAGTACATATATATCGATTCATTCAAGAGTAACATTTTCACTCGATCCGTCTTGAATATTTAATTCCCCAATATTTGTTGGAAGTCTTCTATTCGTTGACAAGTTCTGTTTATCCAGATAAGAATTTAAACCGTCTCGGGTCGTGGGAGGACGGGAGAACGTCTCGAGTGGCCGAAAAGTTTTCACGAGAGATCGTCGGTCCTCGCGCAAGATGGTGGGTCGATGATGGCGGCGTAGTCGCGAAAATGTGGATGACAAGGGAGGAGGAGCGGTTAGGGGTTAGCCGGGAACGTATCCATGACGACCGACCGCCCCGCGAATCGCCACCCTCCGAGATCCCGGATGCACCCCTCGGCATCCCAGCATCCCTCCGGTTCTCAACCCTCCGCAACCCTCCACGGCTCGAGGTTGACTCTATCTGTTCGTATCTGCGGCCTTTGGCGTACGACGGTGCTCGACTACTTGGATTTTAAGTCCGGGACCGTTTCGTGCCGAGGATCTATACGCGCCCTGCTACCTGACCATAATTCTGCTCGAGTTTCGGAGCCTCTGACAACGGGGGAAATCCACCCCCGGGTGAAATTGTAGCGTTGGTTAACCTCTCGGGGAAAATTTACCGGTTGGATGGAACAAAAAGGAACCGTCGAGGTAACGAAACCGGGATTAGATTTCCACGGACCATTTCTGTCGGTTAATCCGAAACTAGTATCTTGGAAATTGTATGCAACAAAAATTGCATTCGAGATATTTGATCTCAATAGTCTCCGTAGTCTCGCAAAATTTACGAATCCTTGCGTGATAAATCTGGTTTAAAACGATTTTGAAACTCATGGTGGGTTTCCAGAGCCGGTCACCGGTGACCACCGCGTCAGCGAACGCGTTATACGAACTTGGTTTCGTATTCGATCGGTCCATTACATATCGGATATTGTGTCAGCGTGTCCGAGGGCGGTGCATGTATTTAATGTTTGCCGGTCGAGCACCATCCCGCCTTGTTTGAGCTGGTAATTGATGTTTGACAAAATGAGGTGACGCGCATGCCGACAACGTGTTGTTTGCCGGGGCTCACGGTGGTTAGCCCTTTTAAGGTTCGCAGGGCTTACGTTCGATCGCACACGCTCGACCGAACTAGGCTCGAGGCCACGGGACACTTACACGGGGTGTATCTAGCTAAAGGGGTCATTTTATCTACACCCCCGTTCCCCCACAAACGATCGAAATTGATGAAACAGTTGTCACAGTTTCGTACAGAATAGATCGAAACTGTTTAAATCTAGAAAAGCTGTTGTATTTTTTACCCAATTGCGAAAATATCTCGGTATCGTTAACGTAATTATACTCGTTCGAAGGTTTCGTCCTGGTTCCTCGAGGAGGGCCACGTTCTTCGGTAGTTCCGTTAACGTAAGGGTGAAACAGTTTTCTATAAGAGTAATCGCGGCCAATTTTCTGTCGATCGTTTAGCGTGACGAACACGTCGAAGAAGATGCTTGACACGGGATAAGAACGATAGGTCATCCGGCGATACAGAACCCGGGCAATTAAAGCTCGGAGGAGTATCG